TTCTTCTGTCCCTTCTCATTTTAACACCCTATCCAACCTCAGCCTTTGCTGTGACTCCTGACCTCTAAGGGAGCAGCATTCAGACTTTTCCTTCCCAATCCCATTTCTCATCCAGACTGAGCTGTACCCAGACCCAGAAGCTCTATTTCGAATCTTCTGTGTGAGCTGGGATGCCAAAAGGCTTGGAAAATACCCTTTTCTTACTTTGCCTCTCATCAAGCATTGTTTAGTAATTTGCTGTAATCTGTGCAAGCCTGAATGGCAAAGCACAGACTAAGAGAGGGCAGGAGTCCACACATGGAGCAACTGCACACATGCAGTGAGAAGGTACTGCATCACAGGCAGGGGAGCTGAAACAGGATGCTTCCCTTCTCTGAGCCTTTTTTTTTTTTTTTCACTTTTCGAAATGTGTATGTTAGACTCGGAAACCTGATAGTCACTTCCTAATATTTTTGTAGTCTGTAGAACCTGGTTTTGTCCTGGAAGCAATGAGCTCAGCCTCACAAGATGAGCCACGACTGACCATGGCAATACCACTCTCTTTTTACCAGTGGGTGATTTACCGATAGTTGTGGACTTGTAACTCAGTTTTAGCAGAAGGGGCATGTGTTCATTTTCTGGAGCTGCCATAACAAAGTACACAACCTGGGTGACTTAAAACAACATAAATGTATTCTCTCAGATCTGGAGGCTAGAAGCATAAAAAAGGTGTCAGCGAAGCCATGCTTTCTTGGAGGCTTCAGGGGAGGATCTCTCTGATGCCTTTCTCTTAGCTTCTGGCGTCTCTAGCTATCCTTGGCAGTCCTTGGCTTGCTGCTGCAGAACTCCAGCCTCTGCCTCTTTTGTCACATGGTGTTCTCCCTGTGTTTCTCTGACTTCGCATGGCCATCTCCCCTCTGTGTCTCTCTCTTCTTCTTACAAGGACACCAGTCAGATTGGATTAGGGGCCTAGCCTAGTCCAGTGTGACTTCCTCTTAATTCCTCATTATATCTGTGATGAATGGCCCTACTTCCAAATAATACCACATTGTGAGGCACACATTGTGTCCCCCACATTTCCTTCTGGGGGACACAATCCCACCCATAATAGGACATGAAAGTGCTTGGGAAAAGCTTTCCTCCCTGTTAAGGAGCGTCATCAAAGAGAGTCCACCACAGTGCCTGTGGTGTTTGCTCATGGTGTGAGGGTCTGATGCTGAGAGAGTTGGCTCTCACTGGGGTTGGCAACGAAGGAAGATGCAAAAGTAACAATGCTGAAACACTACCCCAAAACGACTGCTTCCTATCTCTGTATTGTTTACTAAGTGGGATAAATGTGCAGAAGTCACATTTTATTTGAGATTCTATTACTGTCTTAGTTCATTTTTGCTGATATAACAAAATACATTGAAACTCACTAATTCATAAAAAACAGACATTTATTTTCTCAGAATTCTAGAGGAATTCTGTGGGAAGTCAAAGATCAAGGCGCTGGCAGGCGTGGGTGTCTGGTGAGGACAGCTCTCTGCTTCTAAGATGGCACTTTGTTGCTGTATCCTCTGGAGGGGAAGGACACTGTGTCTTCACATGGCAGAAGGGATGGAAAGGGTGAAAATGGATGAACTCCCTCCATCAAACTCTTTTATAAATATACCTAATCCCATTCATAAGGGCAGAGTCCTTATGATCCAATCATCTCCTAAAGGCCATACCTCTTAATGGTGTTGCATTGGGGATAAAATTTAAACATAAATTTTGGAGGGGACACCATCATTTCAACCATGGTAGTTACTCATGGTCAAACACATCAAAACTCATCTAGTGACCCCCAATTTCCCTGCTCAGTTCAGGGAAATGTAAGAACCACAGGATTTAAGAGCTGGATGAGATATTGAGAGTCATCTAATCCAAATTCTATACTTAATGGATGAGGAAGCTGAGGATTGGTAGGGGAAGGGACTCACTTGGGCCACAGATTAGGGTCACAGACTGGACCTACACTAGACTCTTCAAACTCCTAATCTCCCGTCATGTTTTTCTGGCTTCCTGTACTGTTTCTGTAACGAACGGAGAGTGCTGTTGGAAAGTCAGAGCTCACTGGGTGGGCTGCTGCTGAGCCATCCGAGGGAAGGAAATGAGTGGTGGGATGGGAGATAAGAAGAATTCCAAGGGGAATGTGCATGAGCTTGCCATGCTGCAGAACTGTGTTCAGCCTCAGGGACACACATTTATTCTAATCACATGCTCCATGCAGGGTTTGCTGCTCTGAATTATGCACCTCGAAAGGGCCTTTCATCTCACCGAGGGTTTGGTGCCAGCCTGCCTGGCTTCCTGTGCTGGGCTGTGATTTACCCTCCAGAGCAATTCAGGGCAAGGAGGTAGGAGGAAGGCAAATGGAAACGCCTGGGACCTTCCCTTTCCTGAGGACTCTGCCTGCCCTACTTCCTTCCTTCCACCAGTAATGGCATGGAGGGGCAGCATGGCTGCTGGAGAGGAAGGTGGAGATTCACCTTTCACCTCTATCAAGACGGGACTCAGATAATTGTGTACCTGGAAGCTTTCCAAGAGTACAGAGAAATCTAACTTTATAAGCTTAATTGAATTAAGATCTGGCAAATTATTTTTAGAAACCTAGAACTCTAGAGTGCTGGATAAAAGGTACCTGAGGCATCTCCTAGTCTAGGCTGCTCATTTTATAGAATTAGAAACCAAGGTCCTAGGAGGGTTTAAAAAGATATACCCTAGAGGCAGAAGTAGAATCAGAACCCCAAACATCAGAACCCTAAACATCAACATCTCCACCTTGCCTACTTTCATCTAAAGTAGAGTTGCCTCTTGAATTCAGTCAACAAATATGTTTGATCCCTGTGGTCAGCAGTTTCTGAAATAGGCCTCTAATTTCACCTCCTGGTGTCCATGCCCTTGTGTAAACCCCTCCCCTTAAGTGTGAGCAGAACCTAGAGAATGGCTTCCTTCTAACTAATAGAATATGACAAAAGTGATGGGGTGTTAATTCCATGATTAGGTTACATAAGAATTATGACTTTCTTCTTGTTTGCATCCTCTCACTCTTTCTGGGTCTTGAAGAACTTGCTATAATGAAGTGAACTATAAGGGCCCATGTGGGAAGAAGCCGAGGACCACCAGACAGTGGCCAGTAAGAAACTAAGGCCCTTAGTCCAATAGCTATGAATAAACACTATCAGATTTTTTCTCAATTGAGCCTTCAGATGAGACCACAGCCCTGGCTAACATCTTGATTATGTTCTTGTGAAAGACCATGAGTAGAAGACCAGATTAAGCTGGGCCTGCATTCCTGACCCACAGGAACTGTAAAAAAATAAATCTGTTTTGTTTTAAACTGCTGAATTTTGTTATGTAGCAGTAATAGTAATATCCAATCTTACTTGGATATTACTGTGGATGCCTACCACATTCTGGTTTCAGGTATGAAAGTAAATGGTTACTATGGATTTACAGGAGTTTGTAGTTTGATGAGCTAAGATATAGCATGTGAAATGATAATAACTAAGACTTTCCTGAGTGTTTCCTCTGTTCCAGGATGGTGCTAAACTCTTTAGATGTACTACATATATATATATATTTTTTTAGTTTTTTTCAGTCCTCACAAAAACTGTGTGAGGACTCTTATTCCCACTTTACAGGTGAGAAGACAGAGGTGCAGAAAGGTTGAATAACCTGCCCAGGTTCAAACAGTTAGCAAGCAGTAGAAGGACTTGAACCCAGGCAGTCTGGCTTCAGAGGAAAACAAGACTTCATTCATTCATTTAAAAGGCAGTTGATTACTTCCTATGTGCTTGCTATTGTTAGTTGCTGGGCATATAAAGATATGCACCTGTTGTGAAGGAGCTAGTGGCGCTGCCTTTTGCTAGGAATGACCTTGTGCAAGATACTTAAACTTGGTTTCCTCACCTGTAAAGGGAATAAGGGGGACTATAACCCACATATGGTTGTAATGAGATGAAGGACATGTCATAGTGCCTGCTACATAGTAGATGATATATATCTGTTAAATAAGAATAAATAAGCAGCAATGTCAGCAGAAAGGTACAAGAGCCTGTGGAAACTGCAGGGACCCCATCTGTTCAGGGTGCAATGGGAGCTCAGGGGAAGTAATGCCCTTTAACTCCCATCTTCTGTGCTTGTCCTTTTCAGTCCTGGGCTAAGTGGTGGGCTTTCCATGCAACCTGTGGCATTTTAAAATTCTTCTTATTCCTTCGTTAAGATAACTAGTAGTTCTAAAGTCATCCTCCTCCTGTGGAAATGCCCAGTTCTCTTTAATGGTGTACATTTTTTTTTTTTTTTTTAGCTTAAGCTTCTTGGGATGAGGAACTTTTGAAACCTTTTCAAAGTTCCCAGATCCGCACCTCCTCTAGCTCACCATTTTGGAGCTACACAAATGTTCAGAAGTCACAGAGCTCACTCCCTAAGTGCCCATCCCTCCCACCTTTCTGATACATTCATCTCTTTTGGTGAGAACAATAGTACCTCTTGATACTTTGCCCCAAATCAAGGAGTAAATTATTATCAGTAGAATAAATGTAAAGACTGAAAATGCTTAATGAACTACAAATGCCAAAACGTACCCCATAGATAATGAGAACTGAGGGTGGCAGGTCTAGGGGATCAGTGCAGAAAGATTTGGTTGAATACTTCAAGGAGGGGCTGAGGTTTCAGCCAGGCCTTAAAGGGTAGTGAGGATGGGGAGAATGGAGAGGCAGGGGATTGCCATGCAGGGAGCAGCAAACATAGCACAGGTGATGCAAAGAGGCTTGTAGATGTTACTAGTAGTTATCCATACCCAGCTTTCCTCTATTTTGGGGCACTTGAGAGAAGTATTTCCCCAACTCCCACACTTGCTATCATGTGGGGTGATATGACTATACCTCATCTACTACATCATGTGACCAACAGGTTGCTATTGGAAGTGATGTGTGTCACCTATAGGCTGAAGCATTTGATTGGCAGTGAAAGTGTCTTCAGTGCTTTTTTTTTTCCAGCCATGACCACCATGGAAGCACGGGTTGAGAGGAAGGATCAGGGACACTGAGTCATCATATGGAGAGCAGCTGCCCTGGAAAGTTGCTGGACCCACGGTGGACTTTGGATGAGTGATAAATAAATCTTTGTCTTTAAGCCATTGAAATCTTGGTGGTGCTTGTTCTTGCAGATTACCTAGCTTTCCCTGATATCCATGGAAGAATGTGTGTTGAGTATTGGGATGTGAGGCTGGGTTAACTAAGGAGTAGCAGAGGCAGCTACTCATGCGGGACATGAAAATCATCTGAAGGGACTTTAAACCACCACAAAAAGTCAAATTCATTTGTGTAGAGTTTGGGCATGAATATTTTTTAAGCTATTTAGGTGATCCCAATATGCCACCAGGTTTAAGAGCCATAGACATACCTATTTTGACTCTTTAACTGGTTTATTTTTTAAGCCCCATTTCTAAGACCAAAAAAGGAGATGATTGTAGGACTTACAGGGCCTGCAATCGTCTCAATGTGTCCCTCCCAAATTCACATATTAAAACCTAATTCCCTGACTGGGAATTAGCTCATGCCTGCAATCCCAGCACTTTGGGAGTCCAAGGTGGGCAGATCACCTGAGGTTGGGAGTTTGAAAACAGCCTGACCAACACGGTGAAATCTTTTCTATACTAAGAATACAAAATTAGCCAGGTGTGATGGTGTATGCCTGTAATCCCAGCTACTTGGGAGGCTGAGGCAAGAGAATCATTTGAACCCAGGAGGCGGAGGTTGCAGTGAGCCAAGATTGTGCCATTGCATGGGCAACAAGAGCAAAACTTCGTCTCAAAAAAAGGAAAGAAACCTAATTCCCAATGTTATAATATTAAGAGGGGTTTATTTAGGGGATGATTAGGTCAGAAGGACTCTGCCCTCATGAATGGGATGCATGTCCTAACAAAAAGTTCCGAGGGAGCTTATTTACCCTTCCAACCATGTGAAGACACGTAGAAGATGCCATCTGTGGAGCAGAGAGCCAGCCCTCACCAGACACTGAATGCTCACACCTTGATCTTGGACTACCTGGCCTCTAGATCTGTGAGCGATAAATTTCTCTTGTTTATAAACTAACTGTCCAATCTTATGTATTTTTTTATAGCAGCACAAAAGGACTAAGACAGGCCCCAAAGCTCACATTTTACATGATGTTTGTGAAAGGGCTTTATAAACTGTAAAGGGCTGAACAAAAATAAACAGCAATTTGAGGTCGGGTGAGGTGGCTCAGGCCTGTAATCCCAGCACTTTGGGAGGCCATGGTAGGCAGATCATGAGGTCACGAGATCGAGACCATCCTGGCTAACATGTTGAAACCCCATTTCTACTAAAAATACAACAAAATGCTGGGTGTGGTGAGGGGCACCTGTAGTCGCAGCTACTCAGGAGGCTGAGGCAGGAAAATCGCTTGAACCTGGGAGGTAGAGGTTGCAGTGAGCCAAGGTTGTGCCACTGCACTCCAGCCTGGCGACAGAGTGAGATCCCATTTCAAAAAAAAAAAGGAAAAGCAATTTGATTATTCATGATATTAAAAGCCTAGATGGTCAGGAGGTCATACTTGACCCAGTGGGGTTTTCACTTGGAGAATGTCTGTGGCTCACATTTCTAGGCTGGAGTCAGCTTCTCTGGCCACTACACTGCTGTGCTTGGGCTGAACCAGCCATGGATTCTCATTACCCCTCATGAGAACTGTGGCAACAGCACCCAGCTGGTCTCCCTCCTCTGATGCTGCTTTGATTTGTACCCACTGATTGGTTAACAACATGACACCTATTTCTTCCAGATAGCAAAGATTTGACAGCATCTTCCTTTCGTGAACAAACACATTCATTTTAATTTTAATCACAGCTTTATATATATTTAAGTCAAATAGGTTTAGAACGTAAAAGGCCAGTGCCCAGCTGCAACCCTTGCATTCAGATGTCTTCTCAGGAGCAACCCTTCCACTTTTTCAGCTTCTTCCTCTGGTATTCATTTCCATGTTACTGGCTCTTTGTTGATTTTTTACTTTCAGACCTTATCTGATGATTGCCTACCATGGCGTCTAAGCTTTTAGCATTCTTACATCCGTTCTCCTATCATGCCCCTGACAACATGATTGTGCTTCCCAGGAGCCTCCCAATATGGCTTTATCACAATTTTTGTGATGAAGAATTAGTATTTAACGTTCACTTTAGCATTTATGATTATATAAATACTGTTTAGAAAAGAGCCATTGATGATAACATTTTCTTTCTTGGACTACTTTTAATTCCATATGGTTAATAATTATCTCTATTTTATAGATATCTTCCTTTACTCACATTTTAGACTTCTGAGAGAGATCAGAGCTAAAAAATGAATGTATTCCATTTGCCACGTTCAGCTGAAAACTATAGCATCATTTTCTATCATTTTCCACTATGTGAAGGTGTAATACTTACAAATGAGTCCTTACGATTTTCCCTGAAACTTAAAAATAAGTATTCTAGATGTCTTTTCCAGCTTGTAAGATTAGATAGAAATATAATCTAAGATTTATAAAAGTCTAATATAAGATTAATAGAAATATTTTCCCTGTTGCACACAGGAAAAATGTGTCTTCAGAGTCTGCAGGAATAGGTTCTGTGTTTCTTTAGAATAGAAGCCTCTTGAGGGAGGGAGTTTTATTTCTTAATAGACTGGGGCTCTCTGAGGATGGGCTGTGTCTCCCCTTAGACTGGGGCTCCCTGAGGACGAGCTGTGTCCCCTCTCAGACTGGGGCTCCCTAAGGATGGGGCTGTGTCTCCCCTCAGACTGGGACTCCCTGAGGACAGGGCTGCATGTCCCTATAACTTCCCAAGGGGGTTCACCTTGCCCTCTGCCCAGACAGAACCAATTTATCAAGACCAGGAATTGCAATGGAGAAAGAGTAATTCAAGCAGAGCCAGCTGTGCGGGAGACCAAAATTATTATTCAAATAAGTCTCCCCTGGCATTTGGGGATCAGAGTTTTTAAAGATAATTTGGTGGGTAGGGGCTTGGAAAGTGGGGAGTGCTGATTGGTCAGGTTGGAGATGGAATCATAGGAGGATAAAGTGAGGTTTTCTTGCTGTCTTCTGTTCTTGGGTGGGATGGCAGAACTGGTTGACCAGGATTACCTGTCTGTGTCTTGTCAACTGATTCATCGAGTGCAGGGTCTGCAGAGCATCTCGAGCACTGCTCTTAGGTTTTACAATAGGGATGTTATCCCCAGGAGCAATTTGGGGAGGTTCGGACTCTTGGAACCAGAGGCTACAGGACCCCTAAACTGTAATTTCTAACCTTGTAGCTAATTTGTTAGTTCTGCCAAAGCAGGCTGGTCCCCTGGCAAGAAGCGGGTCTTTTTGGGAAAGGGCTGTTATCAATTTTATTTCAGAGTCAAACCATGAACTGAACTCCTTCCCAAAGTTAGTTCAGCCTACTCCCAGAAATGAACAAGGGCAGCTTAAACATTAGAAGCAAGATGGAGTCTGTTAGGTCTGATTTCTTTAAATGTCATAATTTCCTCAGTTATAATTTTGCAAAGGCTTTTTCATCCCCTCAGACTGGGGCTCCCTGAGGACAGGGTTGCATCTCCTCTCAGACTGGGGTTCTCTGAGGACAGGACTGTGTCTCCCCTTGGACTGGGGCTCCATAGATTGGAGCCGGTGGACAAGAAATAGAAGCAGGGAGGAGATGTCCCACAGACTGTGGAAGAAATCAGGTAGGCTGTGGGGGACTGCGGGAGTCTGTGGGACTGTGTCTCCTTCCCGTTTCTATTTCTTGTCCACCAGCCCCACCTCAGTGTCTAGAAAGGGGTCTTCATGTGGGAGCTGTGGTGGTGTCACAGGTCAGGGAGGCTTAATCGACCTAGCCTGCTTCTGAGATTCCCCAGCAGCTGTTCGGGCTCCAGAAGCTGCTTCTCTCCCTGATTCTTCTGCTGATGACCTTGGGTCTCAAAAAAACAAGGAAGAGAAACTCCTCCAAGACACTTGAAGGGCTCTGTCAGGTCATTGGCCCCTACCAAGCATCTGTCCTGTTCTCTATGCCTTCAGGAGACATTAGCTCTCAGGCCCTGCTTGGTTCCAAGGATGGCCTTCCCCTCCCTTTCTTCGCATATAGCTTTTTTTTCTTTTTGAGGTTGTCTGTGGAGAAAGACTGTGGATGGCATGAATAATAGATTATTAATTTGGAAGCTCTCCAGTGAGTGAGACTCGCCACCAGTGAAGACGCCTGTTATGTAATCAGCAAATGGCGTTGGCATCAGAGGCAGCATGTCTGCCAGAGAGCATAAGATCAGAGATGTGAGAGAATCCGGGAGGGAGGCCCCCTTGCAGGAAGGTCTGTGGGGAGCCCGGCTCTGAGCTGGTTGTTTTCAGCCGCCTTCTCCTGTTTAAGCCTCACAGTGACCAGTGAGGAGGCACTGAAACCTCCCTGTGGAGAGAGAACAGGCCGGTCGCAGCAGGAGCTGACTGACGCTGAGGCCTGCTGAGCTCCCGGCACTGGGACCCTGATATTTCCCCATCATGGTAAATTGATTGGGCCTGTGCCACAGAAGGCCTGACAGAAAGGTCTCCAAAGGCAAAGTGAAAACAGAACTCAGACCTAGGACCACCGTCTCTGGAGGGGAAGCCCCCAGCTGGCCCCTGATGTGACACTGGGTTTTTCTAGCAAGGCCCTTGGAGGCTGACCTGTGGCCAGAAACCGATGGCCTAATGTGTTCTCCCTATCTCTAGCATTGATGCCTGGTGGTGCCTCAGGGAGGGAATGTCAGGCCACCTCATGTGACAGGAAACTGGAGGTAGGGAGTGTGTTGGCTGACAAAACTTTTGGGATGGGCTTCTCAGAGGCAGGGGTCCGGCTAATGGCAGTTATGAAATTGCACCTCCCAGATCTTCCGCATCGAGCATAACGGCCTGACAGCCCCGGCTGCTGAGCTCTGAACCCACTGCCATGTTGGAGCTAAGGCCACGCTTCTCTCTGGCTGCTTCTAGCCACTGACTGAGTGGGACAATGGCTGGAACCTTAAGGCAGACCCATTCCTGCCAGATGGGGAAGGAGAGACTTTGGCTTTGGTTTAACTCTCTCCCTGAAACAGCCTACACTGGCCTTCCCCCACTAGTCTAACTTTCTTCTAA